GCTCTAGAAATTCGGCAACCCAGCACTGGGGTGCTGGGTGCTTGCGACATGGCGATGCTTTCCAGTTTGTTGAACATTTCAGACTCTGTGCCACTGGCCCACACTCGCCGGCGTACCATGTCCCACTTCTTTCCACGAGACCTAGAATATGAAGCGCATCACTGCTGAACTCGGAGATGAACCGAAAATATAACCCTGCAGTTTTGGGTTGCAATCATTGAACAGCAAGAAGGAAGACTTGCACTGCAGCAGGACCCACGCAGACAACAAAGAATAACAAACTGAACGTCAAAGTATTTTAATGACCCTTGTGGGGTGGAGTCGGGGGAATTGAATGGAGCTAGCAGGGTGTTTTAATGGCCAGATGCCCTTCCTGTTGCCAAAAGAATATCAAACTGATCCTTGCTGTCAGGCAAGCCTCCATCAATAACCAAGAAAGAAAACTCTCAATTCCCTTGTTTGTGGAAATTAAAATACTTTTACTGGTTATGAAAAGATAGCAGCGAAAGGAAAGCAAGATCTGAGCCAGAAAGACGCGAACAAGTACATATAAAACGATTGCCCAGCCCCGTCCCTCCAACGTCCCACCCCAGGGTCCAATCTGCAACTCCCTAGGTGTCATGTGGGATGCATCTCCAAAAGGCATCATCAAGTTGGCATGCAGGACGGTTGGCCTTGACCAGGCCCAAACACCGGCCACCAGCACACGGAGAAGATGGTGAGAAGGAAGCTTCCTTTTCCGTATCTCCTCCAGTACCCTACAATTCCCATCCCAAATACCACGCCCCCCCCACCCTCCCCATTTCTATGGCAGCCGATAGAAAGCAAGCGAAGCAGAGGCTGACGCCTGCAATACAAGACCCAGATTTTAGCTGATTAGCATTTCAGCTCCATTTAAAATGACAATAACGGAAAGTTCTTTTTTAGTTTCTGAACCTTAAGGATGAAAAGGCAAGCTTAAGGATGCCTCACTGATTTTTCAGGAATCGCTGACTAGAGCTGGGATGGTGAACCTACGGGCATGCGTGCCGCGGGGAGCCCTCTTTCAGGGCACGCAAGCCGTAGCCCAGGTCAGCTCCACCACCTCCCGCCGGCCAGCTGATTTTCGGGTCTTTGCCAGGAGACACATGCGCATGTTGGGGGGGGGGGCGAGGAGGTTGTGTGTGCATGTGCGGGGGTTGCACGCATGCGTGGGAGTGGGGGAAGCTCACACCCGTGCTCCATATTTGTGCCAGGAGGCTTCAGGGAGCCTGGGGAAGACTGTTTTGCCCTCCCGGAGGCTCAAGGAAAACCTGCAGAGTCTGGGGAGGGCGAAAATAGCTCCCCTCCCCCAGCATGGTGCAAGAGGCTGACTAGGCTGTGGGGGGGGGGGATTTCGCACGTGCATGCACTTGGGGGGGGGGTTCATGCACGCTTGTGCAGGGCGTAGGACGCATTGAATTGTGGGTGTGGACACATGCGCACAATTTAGGCACACAAGGTTAGCCATCCCTGGATAAGAGTGTCTGGTTGCTATTACCAGACATTTGGGGTCAACACACAAAGCGTTCTGAATGCGGAAGAATTTAGCAAAGCGTGCAATTCCTGGCAGAAGTTTGCAGGGTGGAGTTTAAATGATTCTGACTTAGAACGTGACTTCATTTTAGTGCCAATAGCCTGGGCTTTTTTTTTTCCTTTTCTTTTTTTGCACAAGTCTTAAGGATTTTGAAGGGAAAACAACAACAGCAAATCTTGGCCTTTGTTATCTCTTACCGTTTCTTGGCTTCTCTTTGTAACCGCCACACGTCTTGCATGGCTATGGAACCATCTTCTGCTCTTTCTACGGCGAGGCCCAGTTGATTCACTAGCCACTCCCCTTCTTCAGACAGGTGGCAACTATAAGGAAAAAGGAGGAAAGACAAGGATGGGAGACACCGTCCGTCTAAAAGCGGTCCTTCTAAGGTGCTTTTTCAAGAGGCAACTGGACTTCTTCGTGTTTCTTGGAAGACGCTTCACTTCACATCCAAGAAGCTTTTTCAGCTCTGACTGGATGGTGGGAAATGGAGGGATTCGTATCTCTTGCAGTCAGAGGATTTCCTATTCTATTTCAGATTCTGTTTCTCACCTTACCCTGCCAGAGGTGAAATTCATTTTTTTTTTACTACCAGTTCAATGGGCGTGGCAGGGAAAGGATACTGTAAAATCTCCATTCCCTCCCCACTCCTGGGCGAAGGATACTGCAAAATCCCCATTCCCTCCCCACTCCTGGGGGAAGGATACTGCAAAATCCCCATTCCCTCCCCACTCCTGGGCGAAGGATACTGCAAAATCTCCATTCCCACCCCACTCCTGGAGCCAGCCAGAGGTGGTATTTGCCGGTTCTCCAAACTACTCAAAATCTCCACTATCGGTTCTCCAGAACCTGTCAGAACCTGCTGGATTTCGCCCCCGTACCGTACCCTACTTGTATTATTACATTCAGAGCTGCACGGATTGGGCCAGACTCTAAACCAATTCCAACCAACCAACCAACCAACTCATTCTATAAAAGGGAAATCCCTTCTTTGCCAAAAAGCCACCTTACCGTCGGATTCCCTTCGTGACGGCGTACATTTGCCGGGCCTTCTCGCCAGCTTCCTGTTCCGTCAGGCGGTGGTTGAACTGCATGAGGAGACGCTCGGCGAACGCCTGTCCTGCCCCGTAGATGCGCCCGTAGTTGAACACCTTGGCGTGCTCTCGGCTGATGCCCACGGTGGAGGCCGTTTTGCTGTGCAGGTCCGTGCCGTTGCTCTTCTTCCCCTGAAGCGTCATCCAGCCGAAAGCGGTGCAGCCTTCAAAGGGGTGGAAAAGGGGGGCCAGGAATGAATAGATCCTTTCTCAAGGTGGCTTTGGTCAACAGAAGAACAGACATTTTG